CTAAACGATAGTTGTGCAAATTTGAATATTCTAATTAACTTAATAAAGTTAATTATGGTTATCATACTATATAAACCATAATTTTTAGTTATACCTATATTAAGAATTTTTCCTCAATTTAACGTTATTTTAGAAAAAAAATTGTTAACTAACGGTTAAAAAAAACTGAGTGGGACAAAAAGAAAATGTGTGGTGCTAAGCATAAGGAAATTATTTATTGCTTGGCCGCTGTGTGGAGAAATGTTAAGCAAGGTACTTTCCAGTGGCCATCCAATTTATTATTTCTGTTCTTTCATTAATTTGTAATCTGAATTTCTATATTTACAAAGCTAGAGAATCAATATAACATTTAATTGCATATAATAAGACAACAAATACATTAAACTTTAGCCAAAATTACCTTTTTTATTTATTTAAATAAAATGAATAAAAAATTTCTTTTTTTGTTTCTATTATTACCTCTTTCTTTTTTAAATAACCAATAGTATAACTTTACATTAACATATAGTGACTCAAAATTGATGTTGATAACTGGGAGGATGAGTAAGAGTGAGTCACAAGGAGAAGCAAATCATTTATGCCATAGCTAGATATGAAGTGACTAAAGTTAAAAATGAGACTTTTTGCAAACCCGGCCCTTGCAAAATTATAAGATTTAGCAGAGATTGATAGCCGGGGCTAGAAAAAAAATTTTCAATTCTTTAAATATTATAATTTTTTACTTACATTACTATTTATTAAATACTGGCATATATTTATATACTTTTAAACTCTAATTTACTTCGCACAAGGTTGCAAGCAGTTTCAAGCAAGATTGCAATTAAATTATGAGTTACTTTAAAATAGAGGATAGGTTAAAAAGCTAGCAAATGGTTAACTAAAGACGCAAAAAGTTGTAGATTGTATAAAAAAGAAATGTAGATTGTATAAAAATTTGAGCATTGACCATAATTAGAGAAACAGCATAAAAGAGGAAAGCAAAAACCTGATGATAATGATGATGATGATGGCCATATTGATCATAGTGATATTTATATATGCATATACAGGCCTTGTTTTAAAGCGTTAGGCCTAGACCCAGCCAACATGTCCATATGGGCCCCACATGGTTTTTAACTTGGGTATATGGGCATAGGTTACAAGACACGGGCTCCAGATGGGTCTCATTTAGGACAGCTCATTTAACTAATTTGACGGAATATTCCGTTTGTTTAGATTACGGAATATTCCGTCAAGTGTGTTAATTAAAAAAAAACTCAAAAATGATATATTTGTATAACATTGATTACTGCAACAATTTTATTTCACTTGTAATAGCTAAATATTTACTGCGTTATAAAACTTTACTTGGTTATTTAACATATTTTTGTAATTTTATAATAATTTTTAATTTCTTAATCTCTAATTTCAACTTTATAATTAATTTTTTTTTTAATGAAAAATGTTTAAACTTGTTTAAATTAAATAAGTAAACTTTAATGTTTAGTATTTAAAACTATATTAAAAAAATCTATTAGGTGACTTTATTATGAATTATTCTTCAAGAACAAAGCGTCGAAAAGTGAAAAATGCTGTTGATTCAATATTTTCAAAGATAGCAACAGAAAATTTCCAAAATGAAGTATATGTTAACAAAGCATTACCCTTACCAACTTCTGAATTATCTTTGCTTTATGCTTCAGAAATAAGTGATAAAAATGAATCAAATGTCATTTACAACAATTCTGATAATGAGTTTAAATTTCCATCAGATAAGAAATCTGAAAATGCTTCTTACACAGAAGAAAATTCTTTTAGTGAATTAAGTGATAGCAAATTTGACATCAAAGACAGATTATGTAATTGGTGCTCTTCCTACAATATTTCTCATGCAGGAATGTCAGATCTTTTGCAGATACTTAATTTTGCAGCTTTGCAATTACCACTTCTGTGTATCTATGTCACAAGTTATAAGGTATTTGATTTTGAACATATTTATCATTACTCGAAAGATATTTTGTATACTTAATTTACTGTTAAACTTCCAAAGATCAAGAGAAAAATAAAAGTTTTTTTCGCTCACCAAAAGTATATATATATATACATATATATATATATTTATGTTATATATATATGTTTATTTTTGTTCTTCAAGTATTCCTCATCGTCACTTCCCAGATCCCTCATCGTCACTTCCCAGAACACAGAAGAAACTATATATAGAGTTTCTTTTGTGTTCTGGGAAGTGACGATGAGGGATCTTGATACCTTTAAAACACAGGTATGTTGAATGTTATTAAGCATCTATTATATAATGCATTATATAATATATTATATAATTTAAGTTAATTTTAAGTATCTATACCTAATTCCAAGTAAATATATATATATATATATATATATATATATATATATATATATATATATATATGTGTGTGTGAATATATATATATATATATATATATATATATATATATATGTACATATATATATATATACTATATATATATATATATATATATATATATATATATATATATATATATATATATATATATATATATATATATATATATATATATATATATGTACATATATATATATATATACATATATATATATATATATATATATATATATATATACATATACATATACATATACATATACATATACATATATATATATATATATATATATATATATATATATATATATATATATATATATATATATATATAATATAATATATATATATATATATACTATATATATATATATATATATATATATATATATATATATATATATATATATATATATATATTCACACACACATATTTTATATATATATATATATATATATATATATATATCAGGCTTGGTCGGGAAGCGGGAGCGATCGCTCTCGAATACTGACCACGGAAATTATATTTAGTTGCATAAAACTGCCCAGGTTTTTTAGTCGTTTTGAGAACATTTAAGTTTATGTACGAAACAAAAAATTTTGTTTTACGGACATACATGGAAACATAAAAAACTTGAATGTTCTCAAAACATCTTTGTGCGAAAGAATAAAAAGATTAAGTGAAATAAAGTTCTAGAGTATTCTGTTAAAATGTTTTAGAAATTGTATTATTCACGATTTGTTACGTTTTGAGATTTTTAGCATCGTTTTAAGAATTTATATTAATTGTTTACGAAAATAAATGTTTTAAATATATATTAGTTAAATTGTTAAAATTTTCAAAGTTTATTATAAATCATAGATTTTATTAGTATATTCTTATTTTTTATTTTAAAAGAGATTGTATTCTTTAAGTAAATGTAATTTTGTGTATTTATTTTTTATCGTAATGTATCTTTTAAAGCAATTTTTATGATTTAAACAAAGACTTACAAAAATAATTGTGTTTTTAATGAAGTTTTAATCGTTAAAGTTAATAAAACTAATTATGTAACAAACATATAAGAAGTTTCTGGTTACTAAACACAAACAACGCATACAAAGTAACTCGCGGATGAACAAGCATCGCGCCTGAGGTCACGACAGACCACAAATATATATAGCAAATAATTAGATATAAAGAAAAATTTCTAGATATTAATTTAGTAACTCTAATTATTTTTGCTTAAGTTGCCATTCTTAAAACTCGTTATACTTTTTTCTGCTTTAAACACTAATTAAAATTTAAAAGCCCACTCACTAAACATCATCAGCGATATTGTGAAGCAGTTTCGCTTCCTGGTCATTAAGTATTTTAAACCTTTTTAGTTGATTTCTATCTTGATAATTTAATTCTTATAGTAATTCAATGATTTAATTATTTCATTTGTTTATCTTACTAAGAAGAATCGCTTTAAATATGTTAAACTTTTCAAACTACGCGAAACATAAAATAGGTATTGAAAAAATTAACTTTTTTATTTATAAAATAAATTAAGCTTAAGTAAAACTAAAACTTGCAAACTTAGTTAAATAAAGAATATTTGTTTTCCTTTTAAACAATCTTTTAAGTTGACGGTTGTATGTTTCTATAAAAAGTTGATGTTTCTATAAAAAAAACATTGCTTAATTTTATAAAAAAAATTATAAAAGAGCGATGTTTCGAAAATATTTGTTTTAAATGTAATTTATTTAGCTTTAAATTTTTTCGCGTTTAAAGATATTTTATTTGCCTACTTTTTTTTTTTTTGTAATTGTCTCTCGTCGGTCCAATTAATCTTCGTCGCTTTTTTTTTTTTGCTTTTAAAAATGTTCTCAAAACGACTAAAAAATCTGGCCAGCTTTTCGCAACTAAATATTATTTACGTGGTCAGCAATCGAGAGCGATCGCTCCCGCTTCCCGACCAAGCCTGATATATATATATATATATATATATATATATATATATATATATATATATATATATATATATATATATATATATATATATATATATATATATATATTTACTTGGAATTAGGTATAGATACTTAAAATTAACTTAAATTATATAATATATTATATTATATAATGCATTATATAATAGATGCTTAATAACATTCAACATACCTGTGTTTTAAAGGTATCAAGATCCCTCATCGTCACTTCCCAGAACACAAACTATATATATAGTTTCTTCTGTGTTCTGGGAAGTGACGATGAGGGATCTGGGAAGTGACGATGAGGAATACTTGAAGAACAAAAATTAACAAGTTGGAATGGTTTCTAAAGTTCTAAAAAATAAATGATTAATAAACTGTAGAAACTAGTTTCTACAGTTTATTATGTGTTTTTTTTTTAGAACTTACATAATAAACTGTAGAAAATAGTTTCTACAGTTTATTATTATGCGTTCCTTTGGACATAGAATGATAATAAAATGAAATATATAATATATTATATAATACAAATATTATATAATACAATTATGTAATATAATATATAATACAAAGCATTGTTTTGTTTTGACTACTTTTTTTTCGTATAATGTTCACTGAACAGTATGCGGAATATAAAAATATTATCTTAACTTAA